GCCTCGGCTCTGGACCCTCCTGGAGGTCTCCTGTGCTCATGTGCGGGGGAACCTTCTGTATGGGAACGCAGCCACAGGGAACACGCGTTAGGAAGTGCCTTTCGGGCCAGGCAGCTCGTTACTTTACAGTAGTGGCAACCCGAGAATGCTATTTTTGCTCTTAAGAAAAATTGGAATTACTTTTAATGAACTATTATAAGTGGAGATCCCATCGAGCCTGCTCTAATGAATATACAATTCCTTCATAATTAATAGCAGCCATCACAGCCATTTTGCAGGAGTGTTTTTAAAAAGTACTTTTTTTTTATTACAGTTGACATTCAATATTATTAAAAGTACTTTCTTATGCAGGTTAAATGTTAACCCTGTGATATTATTTATGCTTATAGTTTTTATGGCAAAACTTCTCTTCCTAGAAAATGTTTTATACATATCTTTTCTGTTTTTGATGAACAATTTTTAATAAAAGCTTACCATGCGATAAGTTATTCATGAATTTCCAAATGAGTTTATCTCTGACTTGTTTTACATGGTTAATATATCAGGGAACTTTTCCCTAAAAAGCATAGTATACTGAATATTTTTTTTCGATTCTCCTGTATATTCCCAACTGTTTTTCCCCATAAGACCATGGTTTAAGTGGTTTCAGAAGTCTTGTTTTCCTACCAGTGTGGTTTTGTTGTTTTGTTTTGATTTCTTTTGAAAACATCACTTAATTTTAGGGGAGGGATTTATAAAGGGTCCTGAGAAAATACTGCAGTTAAAATATGCAAAACTTTAATGGGCTTTTAAATTTAAAGGTAGTTTAGTTACCAATGTCTTTCAGCCTCTTTATTTCAGCGATTAGGAAGCTGAGGACAGAAGGGTTTGGTTTACCTTAGATGACCCATCTAGTGTGTCAGGGCAAAGAACTGACTACAGTTATTTTCCTATGTTCAGGTAGGGTGCTCCTCAGTTAATCTTGACAAGAGATGATGGATAGACTAAAATAACCTGGGGTCAGCAAGGAGACAGGAACTCTATGGCCTGATCCCTGTCCTTAAGGATCTGGCTTCTTAATTGAGGAGATAAGACAGGTGTGAATTGAAAGCAGAGATTGACAAACTGTGGCCTCCAGCTAAGCATGGCTTTAAATCTTT